TCATGTTAGGATTTAATCCAGTGAAGAAGTACTGATGATTAAAAAAAATGACAATCAAACATGTTTGTATAACAAAATGCATTAATATGAAGTTGTAATTTTGTGGAATTGATGTGCCTATGAAAACCGACTTGTGAAGTATGTACTGATGACTGTTCTTTCTTTCTTATCATCAAAATAAATGATTAGGAAATTAATACACCCCTGTACCTGTTTCATCTTTAGAGATTCTGTCTTTATACATTTGTATATATGGCATGATAATCTTCTTCCTCCTCCCCCTATTCCTCTTCTTCGCCACCCCTCCTTTTCCTCTTCTGCTTCTACAGCCTCTTTTTCTTCTTCTTCACCTTCTCTTCCTCTTCTTCTCCTTCTACCATATTCTTCTTCCCCACCCCTCCTCTTCCTCTTCTGCTTGTACCGCCTCTTCTTTTTCACCTTCTCTTCCTCACCTTCTCTTCCTCTTCTTCTCCTTCACCTTCTCCTACTACCATATTCCTCTTTTTCTTCACCTTCTCTTCCTCTTCTTCTCCTTCTACCATATTCTTCTTCCCCACCCTCCTCTTCCTCTTCTGCTTCTACCGCCTCTTCTTTTTCACCTTCTCTTCCTCACCTTCTTCTCCTCCTCCTATTCCTCTTCTTCTTCACCTTCTCTTCCTCTTCTTCTTTTCCTCCTCTTCTTCTTCTTGTTCACCTTCGCCTTCTTGGCACTTTACATGTACTGAACTTCTTAAAGCACTTGAAGAAAAAATTACCACCACACTAATACACAAGTTAATGTACAACAAATTCAAAATCATTTATTGATATATCCAATACATAATTACCAAGCATTATTTTGAAGTGTATTGAATTGTGAACATAAATTGACATAAAAGTGTCATTTTAATGTATTCTGTCTACTTTAAGCTCTCGTAGATCCATCAGCTTGATACAGTCATGAAATATACTGGAATCGTAGATGTGGTTGCTAACGTAGAGGACAAAATAGTTTGGATTAATGCCTCTGTTACACAACTCTACATTGACTCCAATGTGACGGGTAGTGAGCCACTGGGGGTAACGTAATTGTTTGGTCTGCTATCGGTCTAGTGTCTATCCCAGTGCGACTTGAGGGATCAAAGAATTCATCAGATATGTAAACCCCTCAAAAAAAAGTTCTGTAATTCAAGTTTCAGCAATTATATCTCTCTTGTTATTTAATTTGGTACCAACTACCAACAATATAGTATTTAAGCAAAATTGGTTCATACATTTCTTTTCACACTCAAGAAATGAACTTAATTTAGGCAGGGGTATAGTGAGATGCAGTCAAATTAATCTTCTTTCTGAAATCATATACTCTGCAAAATTTTAGAAATTAGAACTCTTTTCAGGGTTCCCACAGAAATTTGAGAACCAAATTCCATGATTTTCCTTAGGGTCACACAGCCCACACCAACAATCGATGCTTTTAAATTTGTTTTGCTTTATTCAGGACCCAAATACCAAAATTGTCTTCCATTATTATGTTCAAGAAATTCATCAAAGTCACTGAAAAATGTTTAAATCCATTCTACAGTTAGTTCTGTCCTCAATATTTTTCAATCAACACAAAATAATGTTTAAAACATGCAGAGTTTCCTTGTTTTTATCTTCAGTTGAAGAGCAATGTTTCAAGAACTTTTGTTTTTCACATAAATATTCAAGTTGTCTAGTCCAATGCACAGAGGAATCTATAACCTCACTCATATGTGAGATAGAAATAAGCTTTCAGCACAGATGTTAGCTTCCTAAACAGTTTATATACCGTAATTAACAGTGTATTAACCACACCTTTTTGTCGCCGAAAAAATTTCAAAGTCGGGGGTGCGGTTTATACACGGTACACCAAAAAAAAAAATTAAAGTTTTGATTTATGCCCCTCCACCTGGCGCTATGCCTGGCAATGTCTCCCAGCTCAGTAATCGGTATGTTGACTCACCACTCGGAAACTAGAACAACACTCAAATTTATCTGTCATCTTGGTTTGAAAGTAATCTTTCTGATAGATTTCAATATGTAGTTAATAATAATTCCTCCAATTTTTCTTCTATTACATGGCGTACCACAAGGTTCTTTTTTTTTTTTTTTTTTTTTTTTTTAGGGTCAAAAAGAGGGGTGCGGTTAATACACGAGGGCGGTTTATACAACGTTAATTACGGTAGGACATTCATATTGAAATAAAGATTGATGAAAATACTTCAGATGATTCAACACATTTCTTTTTAGAAGACAATAGTTATAATAAGAAAAATATTCTATAAAGTGAAGAAATATGCTTGTATAATATCCATCCAGAAAAAAAAGGAGAAATGTCCACAGACATGCATATTTCAAAATAATTCTTTGACCTCCCATATGATTGTAAATAAGAAGGGAAATAAATATAAACATGATTTGAAAAATCATGAAATGCATGATCTCATAATATAAAGAGGTATGTAATGTTCATTAATACCCTAAATTCATTGTCGAATGCAGCACAATGGCAGCATTTATTTATACTAACATTGGAATAATTCTTAACTAATATTTCTAATACAGGTAATAGTACAAGTAATATCATAGTGTCAGCTTCATGTATCAATATCTTGCATTCATAACAGATAATGCTCTTTATGAAAGTTTACAATATGCCTTTGATAAAAAAAATGGGACGTCATTTCTGTATATGAAGTGCATCAGAAATAAATATAAAACCATTAACAGTTGTGTAACATAGCTTTTTAAGGAAAATAGCAATGCACTATAGATTACCCCCAAGCAGCGGGTACCCGTATGTCATTTTTCATGATATGAAATGCCATAGTTTGTTTTATTCTGGACATGAGGTTGCGACTTGCCTCATGCACTATGCATCAGAAATGTAGAAGCTCAAAGAACATGTTTGGTAGATATTTTGTATATCTTTTGAAGCCCGTCTGTACTAGTTTGGCCAGGAGGGATTAGACCACCCAGCATGGTCACTGACAAGTGGCTATCTCATCAACTCAGCTCTCAATTAACATAAGAAAAGGGGGATCATGGGGGACCAATGGGCACCGCTAAGGCATTGTTTTCTATATAGAGGGAGCAAGTAGCTACAAGTAGTACAGTGGGGCTTTAATTAAAAACACAGGATATCGTTTCTGAATATGAGGTGCATCAGAAATAAATATTAAACCATTCAACAGTTGTTTAACATTGCTTTTCAAAGTAAATAGCAATGCACCACAGATTACACCCAAGCAGTGGGTACCCGTATGTCATTTTTCATGATATGAAATGCCATAGTTTGTTTTATTCTGGACATGAGGTTGCAGCTTGCCTCATGCACTATGCATCAGAAATGTAGAAGCTCAAAGAACATGTTTGGTAGATTAATATCTTTTGAAGGGATTGGGTAACTTCGTCTCAGATCCTGGATTTAGCTCATGCTGCATTGTCTGATAATTATAAACCTTTAGGTCAGTCAGGAACCCCATAACTTTTACAAGCCGATCGCCTGTCTGATTATCAAGATATTTCTGATTGGAAATAAGCGCAATTTTTAGGGCTTCAATATTACACCATACGACAGACACTGATAACACGTAGGGTCCTGTATTTCAGATTTAACATTTTTAAACGATCCCTTTAAAGAAAGAGTGAAATAATAGATACTTGCATCCCATGATGCCTATCTATGTAATCCCAGCCACTTGATTTATTCAACAAAAATGCAGGAAACATTTGAAAAAGTCGCTTATGAAACCTAGGAATAAAAACTACGAGTCCATCTGATCTAGGAAATGCGGTCTTCCGTGGCCCGCGCCCCTCGCTGTCAGAACCTCCACACCGGTGTCCGTGACGATCATGGTATGTTCAAACTGCGCTGACCACTTGCCGTCGGTGGTCACTGCCGTCCAGTCATCGGGCCACAGAGCATCCTTCCAAACACCTGCAACAAGCAACAATGAGTTCCACGATATTATTAAACTTGTCACATTACTTGTTAAAACATTAGGCAAAAGTATGGTGGGCAGCAAGATTACAAGGGCGTGCATTGGCTTTTTTTTAAATTCCATGTGATCCTAGCTGGTTATGACAACATCCATAAAGTTAGGGTTATTTATATCATGGTGCAAATAGAATTCTTTATAATTCTCATTGATGAATTGAACATAACATTTTTCCTTTACAAAATAATTTTATCTCTTGCAAACTTTTTTGTGGATTTAAAAAGAAATATTTTAGGAGAAAATCAGTATCAATTTGATATTTCAAATGCTTTCATGACCTTATCAAAATTCATGATTGTACGTTTCATATCACTTACAACTTTTTCAAAGATTATTTTGAGTTTGAGCAAGACCTGAAATGCCATCTCATGCAAGATATAACAACAAAACAATAATAATAATAGTGGGTTCTTGTATAGCGCTCATGTCTGTCAGACTTGAAAATAATATTTAACTTTTATATAGCGCTTAATACAAATGTCTCTTAGCGCTTTACAAATATACTATTACCCCTGTCATTGGATTCAGTGCTTGCCATCTCCACTCCCTGGGGAGCATTCCAGCCGGGCGTTACTTGACACTCCTGGTGCTCCCGACTGTTACCCTGGCTTTAGCACGGCTGCCATTACGGCGCTCTAGCATTTCAAGGAATTAATTCCTGCCAGGTAACACCTGGGTTGAGTATGGCAAATGTAGATCAATGACTTGCCAAAGGACATTAGTGCCGCGGCAGGACTCGAACCGCGGACCTTGTGATCAACAGTCGGTGACATATCCACTCGACCACGACACCTCTACATAATGTTTGAATATGCATACCATTCCATCATTAAGTTATAGAGGTGTTTTCTTTGACGATATAATGATATAAACTTCATGAAATGCAGGCCGCATATGCCTCTACTCACCGTCGTTAACCATAGGTTCTATAGTAAATGCATGTCCAGGCTTCATAACTCCCACAGCTTTATTTTCTGAAATAAGACAAAAAAGAAGTGATTATAAAAAATATATAAAAAAGGAGGATACCACTGATCTCTATCATAATAAATTTTAGATTTCTGTTGCCCGCAAAAAACCCGGATACTTGTCTTCTTTCATCAATATTTATCTTGAAACACATTTATTTTAAAAATCCTTGCAGATGTGTGTTAAATGACATCCTCTTTCACATCATTATTTACTTTAAATGTAAATTGTGAGGCTCCCAACACTTTAAGAGGGGCTTTAAGATGGTTATTGATATGCTACTTACTGGCATAGAATGGAACATTGGGAGCGGTGTGGAAGAGTTTGTGTATGCCGTGTCCACAGTATGTTCTTACAACTGAGAAACCATGTGCTTGGCAGTGCTTCTGTATAACAGCTCCAACGTCACGATACTTCACTCCAGGTTTCACTTCAAAAACGAAATAGAAACAATAATTAAAGGAAGGTTTCATAGAATATCTGCCCTTAACAGCAGACTAATTTCCATTAACACGTTGAAGACATAAAAACTGTCTCAAGTTATTCCAAGTATTCAATGGTTTTAAGCAGGATCAATGCAAATAAATAAATTAATAAATTAAATATTTAATTGACAGTTATAACAGAATTTTTTTTAGTAATGGCCTTCAAGTCAAACATTTGTTAAAATTATATTTCATAGATAAAACAAAGAGAATAGTATTGCTTGATGATATTTTTTTTTGAACTCATCACTTCAAACTAAATAACGTCGCTCTCTTATATTACACTACAATGCTGCTACATGTAAAGCCTCGGTCACAAATGCCATTACGATCTGCTACGAACGCCGTACGAACGATTTTCAGACAATGGAAATTCGGGAAGACAATGGAAAAACAGGGAGCTTCGTACAAAATTATCGTTCGTACAAACCTTTGTGACCGTAGCATAAATTGAAATATCATATCAGTAGCTGTTGATACTGCTTATATTTTTTACTACAGGTTCACATATCTTGTTTTTATATATTACACATAATGCATAAGTAAATACACATGTAAATATTCTCACCTATATCTATAGCTTGCATCATACTCCCATAAGTAACTTTCACTAGTTCTTTAATTCTGTCATCTACTTTGCCCACAAAGAATGTTTCATTCAAATCGCCATGGTAACCTCTGTAGTAAACAGTGATGTCAACTGTGGAAAAGAAAAAGGCAAGAAATTAATCTTTTATTGGATTAATTCATACAATAGCATGCAATGTAAATAGTGATTTCAAATGATATCTAACAAAGTAAGAAAATGTTAAAATGTTTCTCAATAACATCAATTTATCTTGAATGAAAATCATAGTGATGAAGATTTTTAGCTCAAACTGGCAATAACTACTGATGTATTTCAAAGACTCATTTAAAACAGTATACACCTGAAAATCATCTAAAGGTTATATTATGAAATGCTTGTTTGATGAACAAAAGTAGAACAACTATTTGCTTTGTGGAGAGAAAAAATTAATGCAGGTACACAAAACGAAATAGGAGTTCAAAGGTTGAACATAGTCAGCATTTACAATGTGTAAATTCATATTTGATATACAAGTGTACAAAAGTCACAAATAGGGCAAAACCTTATCTAATAAAGCATTCTCACAAGTTTTTTTTATGTCTAGCAGTCTTATTTCATATCTAGGGTACTTACCATTGACTATGTCACCGTCTTCTAAAGGTCTCTGATCAGGAATCCCATGACATATCACCTCATTCACTGACCTGCATGATATAAACAATGTTGAATATTTGAGGACAAATTCTTAAAGGGATCGTTTAACAATGTTAAATCGGAGATACACGGCCCTACGTGTTATTAGTGCCTGTGATTTGGTGTAATATTGAAGCCCTAACATAATTGCGCTTAAATATGATCAAGAAGTGCCTCAAAAAAGTAAAAATCTTTGAGTGACCGGTTTTACCATACTCATTTTCCCCAATAAACCGTTTGGCAAACGCAAAATTAGGTTTCGATTTCCAATCATAAATATCATGATAATCAGACGGGCGATCGGCTTGTAAAAGTCATGGGGTTCCTGACTGACCTAAAGGTTCATAATTATCATTGCAGCATGAGCTAAATCCAGAATTTTGTTTCAGAATCTGAGACAAAGTTACTGGATCCCTTTAATCTTCATTAAAAGTTGACTGAATTAGCCAGAGACTAAGATTTTTTTTTAAAGTCGAGACTATATGGCAATTACTGCTCTGCACTAATTCACTGACATTATTTGATTTCCTAACTTTGAATTTAGACCCAACACTATACCTAACCCTCACCAAAAACTGAACCTAAAACACAAGCTCTATATCTTTGACATTTTTTTCTTGTAAGATAACCCAATCTTAATATATTCTTTGTCTATCTGAAATATCCCATTACTCAATTGGTATCATTAAAAAAATACCTTTTCCCCAAGATATTATGAGTAAAATGTCTTGAAATGTCCCCCTTCTAAACATAAACATTCAAGATCACATGTTACTTACGTGCAGCATGACTTGGGGAAACCCCTATAGTTGAGTGGTGAGGGATAGCAGTTTCTCTCTATACATGCCTTGTGTACAGCATCATCAATATCATCTGTTGTGATACCAGGCTTAATCATAGCTGCCGCTATGTCCAGGACTTCCCTTCCATACTGCCATTAGTAAAGAAGATAGATAGATAGATAGATCCATTTCACAAGGTTATATACAATACAATTGCAATTCAAATTGAAATAACACAAAATATGACATAAATCAATAATCAAACATATAGACATTTCATAAAAATTCATTGATCAGATTCAAATTTTTGTTAAAAAAAGAAAGAGATAGGGAGAGGTGTAGGAGAGGGAGAGTTGGAGTGATGACAAAGAGAGAGAAGGAGAGAAAGAGAGAGAAGGGGGACGGGAGAGAAAGACGGAAAGAGATAGAGAGGGAGAGAAGGAGAGAGAGAGAGTTGAAGAGAGGAAGAGACAGACAAAGGGTACCTTATCATTACAGATGAGGGGAGATGGCAAGAAATATTCAGTAATGCAGAAAATTGAGATAAAAACTATCAAAATTCATTCACATAGTTCAATCATGGACTGTGAAATTCTAAAAATATTGGTATTACATTTCAAAAGATTTATAAAGTAAGGAAGAGAGCTGCACTGGAAGCGTTTTGTTTTACATTGGTATTGTTTAAACTTTGATTGAGATCTTAGAGAATAAGTGCTTAGTTGTCTGAGAGGTAAACATTCTTTAAATTGAGGGTGTTTGACAAGAGCATTTGCAAAGTCTATACATAACTGCTTACGTCTTGCTTCTAATGAACATAGATTGCACGTTTCCAATGCTGCTTCTTAATTTTCATACTGACGTCCTAAAATGATTTTGCAAGCTCTTTTCTGAATACGTTCTAAAATATATACATGAGTTTTTGTTAAATTACCATTTAACAATTACAAGTTTAACCCTGCGCCAGTCTGCTAAAATTGAACGAGTACAGAAGAGAGCTCTTCGCATGATTTGTTACCCGACTGACTCTCGCTATGATCACCTTCTTCACCAATTTGACATTTCATCTCTTGATAGCCGACGTGTTGAGATCCTCGCGCGATTTGCGAAATCACTTCTGGGTTCTCAAAGACACCGCCATCTCCTGCCACAACCGCGCCATGTGAATACTTGCCGCAGTTTAAGAAACTCCGATCATTTGTCCCTTCCACGTTGCAGAACCCAGCGTTACAAACAATCGGCAGTTCCCTCTCTTGTTCGTTTGCTAAATTCGATCAACTGAAATCTTGTTAGATCTGTTTTATGTATTGTCATTTTTCAAACTCTCTCCCTCTCTCTCTCTCTCTCTCTCTCTCTTCCTCCCTTTCTCTAGCTCTTTCTCTCTCCTTCTCCTTTCCCTCCTCCCCTCTCCCACTGTTTCTCTATTTCTGTCTTGTATTTCCTCTTCTCAATTTTCTGACAATGTGATAATTACTCATTAATAATGTTCACCAACATGTATAGGTCATTGACATTCACCAATTTTAAACAGTATAATAACAATTCCATAATGGCATTCTAAGTCATGTTGCATTTGACATTTTCGTATTATGTGCATTTTACTTTTACAATGCTTCATTAAGCTGAATCAACTCAATTCTCGTTCAATTGCTTACATTTTGTTTTTGCCATGAATTGAACTCTCTTTTTTCTCGTTATCCTTTCCCTCTCCCTCTCTTCCACTTTTCACTCTTTATTTCTTCTTTCTTCTCTCCTTCTCCTTTCCCTCCTCCCCTCTCCAGGCCTGATAAAAACCCGATTTAAATCGGTTTCCCGATTTTTTTTATTTTTCCCGATTTTTTCCCGATTTTTTCTTCCCGATTTAAAAAAAAAAAAAAATCCAGATTTTTTTTTTTTTTTTTTTTTTTTTTTTTACCAACTTTTTTTTTCTTCCCTATTTTATCCTGATTTTCCAGATTTCCCTCTTATTTTCTCTATTCTTCCCTATTTTGCCCTATTTTTCCCCCAATTTTCTTATTCGAAAGGGGGGAAATGTTGTTAGATGCCATTTTTTCCCCGCGAATCCTCTTTTTTTTTTTACTCAAGGGGGGGCGTGGTTGAGGGGAAAACAAAAAACCTATTTTTTTTTTGGTGCTCACTATCACTACTGCCTCTCCCACTGTTTCTCTATTTCTGTCTTGTATTTCCTCTTCTCAATTTTCTGACAATGTGATAATTACTCATCAATAATGTTCACCAATTATGTATAGGTCGTTGACATTCACCAATTTTAAACAATATAATAACAATTCCATAATGGCATTCGTATTAATGTATCATTTGACATTTCCGTATTATGTGCATTTTACTTTTACAATGCTTCATTAAGCTGAATCAACTCAATTCTCGTTCATTTGCTTACATTTTTTTGTCATAAATTGAACTCTTTTTTCTCTCGTTATCCTTTCCCTCTCCCTCTCTTCCACTCTTCATTTCTTCTCTCTTCTCAATTCACTGACAAACTGATTATCACCATTTTATAACTTACAATCTTTTTTTTTTTTCTTCATACTTTAAGTTATTACTGAATTTTTAATTCAACTGTTTTTAATGCATTTTTATATGATACAATGTGAGCAATGTAATTTAACTTATTACTGAATTTTTAAATCTACTGTTTTTAATGCATTTTTATATGATACATTGTAAGCCAATTATTGTTAGTCTTTGGACTTTTTATTTGGTATATTTGTAATAAAACCAAAACCGAAAAATTGAATTAAAAACCAGTACCCCATAATCTAAAATCGAACGAATGTATCCTTTATATATAAGTAAAAGGTCATCAACAGGCAATCCATACTTCTTAAGGCAACGAAACATAAACAACTTTCTATTACACCTTTTTTTTTTTTGAAGTTACAAATTACCAATATTTGCACAATGCAACTCATGTACAGATAGTGTTCTATTCATAATTTGTTTCCTTTAATATCATGTACATTTATATGATGACATTACATTTTCACTAGATACAAAAGAAATGGGAAATTATACAGTAGGCTTGCGGTTGCACCATATAAGAGAAAGGGAGGATTGGGAAGTCCTGAAAAAGGACTCTCGATAATCTTTCTTTCTTGAGTGTGTGTAGTCCTGAAAAGGACTGTTGGTGTAGTCTTCAAAAAGACTGTTGGTTATCTTTCTTAGCTTATAGTTCTAAGGAGAACTATAGCGCCGGTTGGAGAGGATAGGTGGCAGGAGCCGCAAGCCTACTGTATATCTACATCACCATGCAAGCCGATACTTATAAGCAGCATCAAATGGGGAATTGATTGCTTGCTGATTTTGGTCTCTTGCAAAATTTAGAAACTGAACAATCACCCTCCACCCCCTTGCAGGGAAATTGTGCTTGCACAACTTTGACTGTATCTTGATCTCAAGGTATTTATATTGCCTTACCTTACATGCTGCCCTTAGACCTTCAATCTCATCCTTACTAAGTTGCTTGATGTAACTGTTACCTCTGACAGACATCTCACTAGCTGGGTAACCTAATATGACACAAGGACATCGTTATAACATGGCTTGATACTAATTTGTAACTTTAACAAATTGCACCTACCAATATGCACATTCACCACTCTCTGTGGAGCATTCCAGCCTTGTCCCAGTAAGCCCATTTTACAGATGCTCACAATGGTCAGCAAACTGCAATAAGTTATTTCATCTGATCACGTACCCATTCAACACCTGGGTGGAGAGTGGCAAATGTAAATTAAGGTCTTGCCTAAGGAAACTAGTGAAGCACCAGGACTTGACCTCGTGACCTTTGCATCACATGCCAACAGTTTAAAATTACTTGACTATGGCACCTCTATATGACAGAAGGACCTTGTTATAACATGATAGATACTGTCAGATGTAACATTTATACATACTAGCTTTACACAAATCATTTTTTGCTGATTAGTACCCTTTAAAAATTGTTTGTCTTAGTCATGATAGGAATTCTATATTGTATCATTTAAACCCTTTGTCTGCTAACATCCAACAAATGGAACAAACATTGGAGTGCCACAGTTGACTATTTGCACATGCACAGTGCGTATGGAACACACCAAAAACACTGAGGCAGGTGCAGGTTTCAGTACACAGAGTGAATGAGAATGCTTACCCTCAGGATGGTCAGCATAGTCTGGTCTGTCTATGGTAAGAGGTAAGTCTCTTAAAGGCCCCTGGGTGAAGGAAGCAAAGTCAAACTTTCAAACCTGTGCATAAAAGCTACTCGAGGTAGACAAAAAAAGCGGTCTCTATGAGCAGGTGGTCATTATATATCGGTTTCTATAATACATGTTTTTATGAGAAACACAGGTCAAGGGGAAACATAAATTGTGGTCTTCATAGACAGGTGGTTTTTCTATACGGGTGATCGCTACAGTGGGTCCCAGTTAGAATGCTAGCAAAGAGGGACTTCATTTTAGCAAACCAATTGTCCCAACACTGGGCTTAAGCCTTAGCTCAAAATTAGGTTTAAGGTTTCTTTTGTTAAACATGATCTAACCGAAGGTCAGGTTTAACTCAGACCACTAGGTTCAGAAAATTACCTTGTTAAATCAAAACTTTGTGAATTTATATCAGGGCCAAAAATAAAAAAAATAAAGATTTCCATAGCTCTTTTGCAGCTTTTAAACCTGAATTCCTCTCTGCTCTAATGTATGTTTCACTGGAGTGTCTAAACATAGTCAACTTACCCGAGGAGATGGGCGCAGTTTTCCGGTGAAGTAATAACCTGGCCAAGGACTATAAGGTTTGACTTCTTGTTTCGCTTTCACTTTCTTGTGGACTTGTTTATGCTCTCCCCAGCTTCCTTTGAAACATTCCTGTTTAAAATGAGAGAGAAAAGTCTTTTAATTGCTGTATACTAAAGACACCCTATTTGTTGGATTCAATTGCCTTAATCATGCTTTCTAAACTAATATGACTTCTAGTTTTGTACACCTTTGCATTTTCATACTGTACCAATCTGTTGCTAGCAAAAAACAACTTTTTTGTTGCCCTGTTCGATTTCATACACAAACAAATTCACAGGTCTATTTCTTTTTTTTCTTATTTTTGGTTTCTTGTTGCTTTTAGTCTTAGTCTCTCTCTCTCTCTCTCTCTCTCTCTATTCTGTTCTCATGTCCTTTCCTGATTTTAACCTCTTCTTCTTATCCATAGTCAATCTTTTACCTGTTTATCTACTTTGGCCGAGTGTTGTAGCATTGTTTTTCATTCCCACTCCCCCCCCCCCCCCTTCATATTCCCCTTCTGTTCTTTTCCATTATTAATCCCTCCGACTCGGGCTTCTGAATCTTTTTCTTTCCAGTCTTAGAGTAAAGGAGCCCGTAATCGGCCAGCTCCCGTTTTCGGCCGATTGGTTGGATGCAAGGTAAAATCACTCTAAAATACATCGCATAATAGCGTAACACATATCCCACACATACCATACCATGCCAGTGTCACTGAAGAACCACATTTGCAATGAAAAATATATCCTAAAATATCACATTTTAGCGATGTAATCGCCGGTCCCGCTACCCGAATCTGAAAAATCGAGTATCTTACGCGTGTCTGTAAGAAATATGGGTACCATAAAATGAGCTTTATTTCAAGTATTTTTCAGATTTAGAGCCCGATTTTGTGCTAGTCGCAAGCTCAAAAGTATCTCATCGCATGTATTAAATCAATGCAGCCGCACACCGCGACGCACACACGATATCTCTGTCTAATTCAGATTCCAACTTCCGATCACCGCTGTGCCTGTCTTCGGCCAGGTGAGCACCAGGGAGCTCAGGCGTGGGATACCTGCTCCGCCCGCTTGTGCTGTACATCAGCGCGGAAACGCATGGCGCGCGCGAGCGCTTCCTATTGACTTTGTACATGCGGCCGTAAACTGAAACGCTCGGCCGATAACCGGCTCCAAAACAGTGAAAATTGAAATGAATATTGTCATGGCAATTCGTGATTTTTTTTCTGGGATTCTTTTTTTGTTTAAATAATAATATATTTGCTTCATGATTTGAACAAGAAATGATAATAAATAGGAAGTAAAGAGTCCTAAAAATAGGATTTTGTCTTAAGTGGCCGAAAACGGGCTCCTTTACTCTACTTCTTTTTATTAAAAAACAGCAACAACAAAATATTGTAATTAGTTTTTCATTCTTGTTGTGTGACATGTCTGTTATTCCTTTTGATTTTGTTCCATTTCTAACTTTTGACTACAAGGCAGTTAGTCTACTCTCAAGTCTCCAGCTTTGCTCTAGCGCTCTTCCTCTTTTCCTTATTTTCTTTCTTTTTTTTTACCTTTAGTTTTACGTCCCTATTTTCTCCTTATTTTGCTTAGACTATTTTACTTTTTCTTTCCACAATTATCTAACTATCAGAGAGGGGAAGAACTTAAAGGTGTGTGGGCTACCCACCCAGGAGCTCCCATCATACCCATAAAAAGGGAAATAATTATATTCTAGATCTACGATTGCAAACTCAACGCAAATTCACAAAGTCAACACAACATCATCTAATCATTACTACACAGTCCACAGCATGTGGGACTACACTCATAGTACATTGCACTCATTTTCATTATGCGGATATGTGGTATATTACATCAAAGAGGTTATCTTTCTTACTTGTGAGCAAAAGAAAGATCCTTGTATCTGAAGCTTGATACATGAAGGGCATTGTAACTTTGCTTCTTTGTCGCATCCCACAGTCTCACACGTGTGAAGAGTTGGATTTTCAACCTCTGCAGTCGCCATGTTGCTTTTTTTCTTCCTGTATATGATAGTCTCGTTTCTAAGCCTTCATGTATTTCATTGATTAGTCTTGTTCCTGGTTTTTACTTTGGAGATGTCATCCAGCCATTTTTTTTTTAAAGTTTCAGTTTGAATACCGAAACAAAATAATCAAAATATAAAGGGGGTTGCGAAAAATAGGGATGTAAAGGGGGTTGCAATTACTTTCATGCCCCTTTTATCGAGAAAATAAATGTAATAATAAAGCAGAGAAGGGGGCGGATATGCCTACAAGCTACAGGTAATTTTTCATCATGGCCGGTGTGACCGCGCCCTTTGTCCTACCAGTTTCGTTTTGTCCGTCGGACATAACATGCGGGTTTTCTGCTCGCACGGATCGTCCGAGGGACGATCCGTGCGGTTTGCTATCCGCACAGTCTGTCCTCATATTGTTTTACGTGTATATTTGATAAAAGGAAGCAACTCGGTAAATCATGTGGTAGACATTTTTTCTAGAAATTACATAATGATAACTCTCTACAATTTTTTTTAAAGCAAATGGGCCAGTCCTTTTGAAGGTAGAAGTGAATATTTTATTTAAAACCTTTATTCTATGAATATCGGCCCCACAACTGTTGTAATCGATTATACTTTTGTACGTGGCTTCGTTCTTCAACCAACTCACTACTAGTAAATACTCGTGATTCAGGCCCCGCCCCCAAGTATTTGGGGGCGTTTCGAGGTTTAATGAAGGAGCTAAATGGGAAATAAAAGTGATTAAAAATGTGGTTTAAAGTGAGTGGGGGAGGCTAGAGTATTTAAGATAAGGTAGAGCGTAGCACAAATTGGCGGATGCTCAGGGGGTAGGGGCATTTAATTACGGTCAGGTGAGCATATTTTAATACCTTATTCATGACACTAGCAAGTCACTAATTGGCGTATAGTCCAACGGGCGGAGCCCCCGGAAGCGCAGGGGTTTTAGGCATTACAATTACGGTCAGATGAGCATCCAGGGGCCAGCCTTAGGGCACAAGGTGGGGTCCAGGGGGCAGAGCCCCCGGAAGCTCAGGGGTATGGGCATTTAATTACGGTCACATGAGCATACTTTCTTTTCCGTTTCTTTCTACTTTTTCAAAAGTGTGTGTGTGGGGGGGGGGGGGGGGCTTGAGCCCCCAAGCCCGCCGTTCCACATGACCTGACAAGTATTATTTCCCTGATCCGTATATTTCATTTCATTTTCATTTCGTTTATTTCCATTTCCAACAAAATAAATAAAGTACATGAGATTTCATTGTACATAGTAAAACAATGAAACTTAACAACATAATCCAAAGTGTACAATAGGCATATAAAACAGGTTGGTCATGGAGGGGACTGCTGAAAAGCTGGGCTTGTAGATTGCAGCCCCTAATAGGATATAGTATATAGGACAAGGCCCTGGGGCAGCTAGCCATAATCCGATATTTGGGTCGTTTTCCGGTCAGAACTAGCCCTTCTATCATTCCAGGATTTTGTTTCAGAACCTGAGACAAAGTTACCCAATCCCTTTAAGTTTCAAAAGTAGACTTCATTGACCTGTACAAAGGCTTAGGAACGGGGGGGGGGGGGGGGCTTGGGGGGCTCACATATCATTGAGCCCCCCAATATTTTTTGCGGGGCTTATAGATATCATTAAGCCCCCTAATTTGTTGGTTGGGCTTAGATATCATTGAGCCGCCCCCGATACTTATTGCGGGGCTCGGATATCATTAACCCCCCCCCCCCTCCTCCCCAATCATATTCTGGGCATGAAACTATAATCTACAGGCTTACCATTCAAATATAAACATTTTATAAATATTTATTTGGGGAGGAGGGGGGGGGGGGGCTCAGACATCGGATCTCGCATATCATTGACCCCCAAAAATATATTTGGTGGATCTTGGATATCATTGAAACCCCCAAATATTTTGCCGGGACTCTGATATCATTGAGCGTCCCCCCCCCCCATATTTTGGTGGGGCTCAGATATCTTTGAGCCCCCCCCCCCCCATATGTTGGTGGGGCTCAGATATCACCCAATTGTTTTTTGTGAGGCTCGGATAACATCACGGAGCACCCCCGATATTTGTGTGGGGCTCGGATAACATCACGGAGCCCCCCGATATTTTGTCAGGGGCTCGGATATCATTGAGCCCCCCCCCCCATATTTTCGCCGGGCTCGATTATCATTATCATTATTGATTGGTGCACATCATTATGCTTGATCATCCTCTCCTATCTGTTTGTTTTCATTCCTCTTTTAGTCATCCTTTATTTGCTACCTATGATATTTGATAAATATATGCAAAATAAACCCTGGAGGTTTAAAGTTGTAAAGTCCAGGGCAGTTCAACACACGCAATCATGAAATAAGGATGTCTTCATCGAAGTGTTTCTGTAAGTTTAGAACCACGCCCAAAGTTGTATGGATTTAAAAGCAAGACGTACACTCTGTTTTGCTCTTATTCAATGTTTATTTGACTATGCTAACCCTGCATGGTATAGTAAAATGAACAATCAAAAGAAGTTGAAGATTATACAGAACAAAATGTTGAGATTTATCAACTGTTCTGGTCCAAGAACTCATGTTGCATACAGCGAACTTTCTAAAGCTGGTTTTCTTGAAGTCGACCAAAGATCAAAACAACCCGTGTTGCATCACGTGCATAAAATATATCATACTAGGTCGAATCATTATATTCGATCCAACTTCGATCTTGTTACTGACGTATATGATTATAATACAAGAAATAGCCGTTTCAACTTTAACTTACCAGAAAGAGTAGGTAGTATTGGAAATTTGTTTTATTACAATGCCATAAAACATTGGAATTCCCTTCCCAATGGTGTAAAAGAAATAGGAAACTATGATCATTTTAAGAGGAAATTAAAGGAATACCTAATACTTGACAGTCAGAGAAGAGAAGTGAATGACATGTTATATGATTGAAATTTTTATTCTTCTGTCGGTTCATACTTGTTCATGTTGTATATACTTATGTTTTCGTACGTTATAGAAATTCTACAAATTCATCATTATTTTCCTTTTCTTCCTTCTCCTCTTTTTCTTCTTCTCCTTCTTCTTTTTCTTCTTGTACTTAATATCATTTCTATCATGAGTTTAATGTTGTTATTATTATTATTATCTTTAATAAGTACTTCTTTTAATTTTCTTATCTGTCTGTAAATATTACTATTTTAACTTATTAATTTTATACAATGTCTGTAAGGGACCCCACTGGAAATAAGCTCTCGAGCTTTCGTGGGTTATCCTGTTCAAGCTGACTTATTTTTGATCTGTTATTATTGTATATTGTTGTATGTTGGAAGCTTGTCGAATAAAAATCAATCAATCAATCGATTAAAATTAAGTTTTGCTTTGCAAAGCAATTGAATCATAATTAACATAAAAATTATACTGATAGTTTTGTTTCCCTCTCTTTTTCTCTCTCTTTTTTTTTTCCTTAAATAACACCCAACAGTTCTTTTGGTAAAAGCTTTCTGGTCATCTTTATGTTTGATTTACTTTCCATTCTTTTTATAATTTCTCTATGGAGATTTTGTTTAGAAGCGACTTTTCTCTTGTCTATCCCAGTTATATTTCGTTTAACAATCAATTTATAAATGGTCCAAAACGCTATTGTAAAGAATAAAGTACAATGACTTTCACAATCTATTTTGAGCAGGTGTTGGATATTGAACGTCAGTTTATTATCTATAGGAACTATATTAGAGAATGTTTTGGAAGTGAAAAGCACAGGAAACATGCTGTATATTGGATAAAAGAATTAAAGGTGGAAATTCGCACCTATCTCAATATGAAATGTAATCAAAAGAAATTCGATACAAACGAAGTTACAAAAGTTACAAAAATGTTTTCATTATTTTAGTTAGTGATTATGTCACATTAGTTTCATGTTCTGTACTATGTATGATATGTTACAATTGCATGAATTTTGTATTTAAACACTGTTGTAAATAGCTGTTATTTTATGATATGAATAAATAAAGTCCCTCGAAAGAGGATAAATAGGAAAAAAAAAATATTGAACGTCAGTATCCTTACTTTGTTAATACCTCTTAATATTTCTTTCAGATGTTTAATGAAGGGCTCAACTAGTTTGCATTCTATAAATGCGTGATTCATATCCTCTTTTATATTACATTTTGGGCATACATCGTCATTGGATATTTCCCATTTGAAAAGATTGCTTCTTACTGGCAATAGATTATACAGTAATTTCAATAATTCCATTATACAGTAATGCCAATAATTCCAGGTCTTTCTTTCACTTTTTTTTAAAACATCCAGCAACGTATGAGCAAGTTATGTGCCCCGTCTCACAAAGAGTTGATATCAATCGCAACTTTGCGATTGATATCATTCAACTATGTACATAAGAGATAGGAGACTGATTATAATATGCATACCATTCTTACAATAAAAACACTTGAAAAGTACAAGTCCTGCTTCATGACCTTTTTTGTTTTGCAGGCTGACTTCTTTCATTGTTGGTAGAAGAATTTGAAAGTGGAGTTGTCAGGGATTGGGTAAACTTCCCATTTCATTCGTCATCCATTGAATAAAAGATTATCTTGGAACTGCATGAAAGGGGGTATCTGCCAATATTTGATTAAGAATTACTCCTGCTTTCTTTAGTGCTTTGTCACTACCGGTAATACTCTTAAATGAGAGTCCATACAGTGGCGTATCCAGACCTTGGCTTAAGGGGGGGGGGGGGTAACATTGGATCTTATATGGCGTCCCATTGATTTCAGCACCTCGTTCTGCAATGCCTTGGTTGGGTTCAATATGGTTGCTAATATTTCTCAAGATTAGTGGAGGTGAGGAGGGGAGTAATTAAAGGCTCGGAAACAGTTTCAGTTCAGAAAGATGTTCCTTTCTCGGCATCTTCTTTGCACCAATAGTCGAGCAGGTGCTTACATTGACCGATTCAGAATTTAAAAAAAAACTTTTTGAGGGAGCAAACCGTAGCGAACTCCGAGAGTCAGGATGATTTTTCACTTTGATTCTATACAGTGACAATTATATGCTTACTGACATGCGACCCGCTCCCTTAAACCCCTCCAACTTCCTAATGTTACGCTCCTATATACCTGCTTTATGTTTAGTTTTGGGATTTGCATACCATAGAACAGAGAAAGTGAACTTAAGTGTTTGCATCAAGGGAGAAATTTCCATTGTTATCACCAGGGAATCAGATGAGCAATGCGGAAAGATTATTGAACAGTAATGATCATGCTGACGGCATAAAGTGGCCTGAAAAATATCATGAATGTGGTGATGCTAGACTTGGAGTTGTTGACGAATTCAGGTAAGCAAAGTACAGGTATTTGGCATTTTCTTCGAATTCTAAGTCGCACTATAGTCATGTAGAAATATTGGATTATTTGTCCTTATTAACATGAGTCAGATTAATTGACAATGTAAAAATTAAGTTTATTTATTTTTCATGTTGAATATTATAGAAGTACATGTAGTTTGATTTGCAATATGTTTCTTTGCCATCGGAAAGACTCTTTTATCCTCGCCAAAAGGACTTGATTTGATTTGATTTTCTTCTGCATTCATAATAAGTACACAGTTTTTCGATAACAATAATGATATAAAATACAAGAAGCATTTTTCTACCAGTGAATCATAAATAAGCAAATAAATATAATAATTGTTATTTTCAAAAAACGAAATGATAAACTGTCAAAAATACTAAATTTCATCAAACATATGAAATTATTTGCGGAAGAAGGGCTGTCATTGTAAGCAGATTGCTTGAAAACAAGACAGCATAAGACAAAACTTATCAAGCAGAATGGATAAGTAATTGGAAATATAAGGATGATTCATGCATCGTATTAATGATATCGGATATTTATAGCGCACATTGCAAGGTGCTCGATCAAGGCGCTCTGAATACTATTCCCGGCTATAATATGATAGGTTGCTGATTTCGGCGCTCACAACATTCAAGGAATTCTTTCCTACTGGTACCCATTTAACACGTGGGTGGAGAGTGGCAAATGTAGATAAATGTCTTACCAAAGGACATTAGTGCTGCGGCGGGACTCGAAGCGCGGACCCTGTTATCCACAGCCCGACGACTATTATAATTTCACAAACAAAACGAACCTTTCTTTTCAGAAAGAAGTTAGACCTAAAATAATTCCAATCCCCCTGTATCATGTTTATCCTTACCTGTATACCTTTAGTTTTATTTTTATTTTTTTTTTGGTTCAAGAATATATTGAAAAGTGAACCTATTATAGGTGCAGTGTTTTCGCAAAAATAGAAGTTTCTGGTGCAACCTTTATCAGCCCTGAACAAGAATTAGGCATACCACAAAAATACATAGTTTGTGGTTTAGGGTTGAAACAAAGGATAAATATTCTTTGGGTTATATTTCGTTTACTTATTAAAAACCAAGAGAGTAGGCCTATAATAAATCATCAAAATGGCAAACTAAAATTAGAATTAGTCTGAGCGGTGTTGCAAGCGTATTGTAGTACATTCACAGTTGGCGCCAAAACATCAAGTTCAGATTATATTCATTAGAAACGATATTGGTTACCCTCATAAATCATGTACAACAAAAGACCTCATCTTTTCATGTCACAGTTTGAGTTTTATTTATGAGGGGATGTTTGGGGGGGAAGTACGCCATAAAACGAACACGATAGCTCTCCCTATAAATAAAGATTCTCATACAAAATAATACCTCCAATGCTCGCTCGAACATTCACACGGATAAAACGGTCAAAGTGTCACCTCTTCTGCTCTGCACAACAATAATTACGCATCACGTCTCGATTGTCACTCAGAAAACAACTGTATTGATATTAGACCCACAATCATAAAGCAAGTGAAGTTGTCTTTTTTTATGGTAATGGGGACACACTCCAAATTCTTGCCATGACCTCAGGGTCACTCCGGTATTATGATATCGGGATTCTTTTTCAGAGCGATTTCGAACTTTGGCCAAGAACTTGAATCTACACCAGATCTGACACTAAGCAAGGGGAACATGTGATATTATTTGTCTTTTCCTTCCCCGTCTCTATCTCTCTCTCTCTCTCTCTCTCCCTCTCTCTAGCTCTCTCTCTCTCTCTGTCTCCCACCCTCTCGCTCACTCTAGCTTATCTCCATGAAAACGTGGACCGCGTTGCGTTGGTATCTTTGTACAGCCTTGATAATCATATCACGTATTCATATCCGGGATTCATAGCTGTTGTATGTGTGGTTGTTGAAAAGTTATCAGTCATAATCATTACTGTCTATTGTTCTACGATCTTGTGAATATACGCGCCTTTAACACCTGAAGTGTGGACTTGAATAGGCTTATCATGTTGTGGTGATTATTACTTTGTTTATATTGTGCCTTTTGTGGATTCATTCAGGGATCTGTTATCATACATATTGAAACAGAATATTGTGACTTGAGCATCGAAGTTCTGAAACGCGAATCGTAAGTTCGTAACTGAGATTCTTTCTTGTACAGTATAAACAGATTATAGGAAAATAAAAATGTAATCCTACCATATATAGCGACTGTGATCGCTCTCACATTAAACAGTAAGTATTTTGAGGGTTTGTACGAGTCCAAATGCTGCATCGACGGTTGCCTCGCGGTCAATTTTTTTTTTTACACAAATTGAATTTATAACTTCAACCCTTGACCTCACACTAAGCCTAACCCTAAACCCAACCATAACCCAAAACCCAAACTTAAAATAAAATTGCGACTCTGTAACCCAACCTATACCATCCTTGGCGAAATAAAGCCTGGAGCAAAACGTTGCTGAGGCATATTCTGTTATGCTCCATTATAATTATATTTAAACCTTTTTTCAATTTCCTCTGTATTTGTAACCTATAGTTTGTACAGGGCCTCTCATGAAAACAGTTTTAATACTGAGAGAGTTACCCTTTTGAAATAAATAGAATTAATAAATAATAAATTATATACAGTCTCGGGTCACCTGCCACGCGTTTATTTAACTTTACTGATTATACGTATAAAACTTCGGCAGGTCTATACGTATCATGATTTATTACAAGTTTTTTTTTCTCGACTGAATAAAACTTTGTCATTGTGGTGTACTATTCTCCTTTTCACAATCACGTCACATAAATTGTTTCGGCTTAATGAGAAATATTCGTTCCTTGGCGGAAGATTTCGTTAACATTAATCTTCCCTTTTCAGGAAATCAGCATTCATGCACGGCTCAAAATAACATAAACAATGCGAATAAATTATCAGATTAATAAATGAATTGAGAAATATGACCCTCAATGGCATATCCATTTCTTACATCCGGTTTACGCTGGTCAGTGGCGGATCCAGGGGGCGGGATAAAAACCGTTAATTTTACCTTTTTGGGGAGATGCCCCCCCCCCTGGTGCTCAAGGGGGGGGGGGGGTGCAATTTTCTCAAATTTTCGAGGCCCCCCCCCAAAAAAAAAAGTTAATGCTTACTAGCCCCCCCCCCCCCCCCCACACACACACACACTGAGAGAAATATTAGCCGGCACGATTTTATTTCAGCACACTAAATTTCAAATTGAATTCAAATTTGCCCCCCCCCCCCCCCAAGAAATCCTGGATCCGCGCCTGACACTGGTCCTCTTCGGCCTTCGCTTGTATAATTACAGCATAAACCAGGCCTATAATGTATTTCCATGACTCTGATATAGCTATACCTCAATCGTCTACATGGGGAAGCTGAATCATATAGGCCTACTGCATTTCCATCTGGAGGGGATTCCCCTTCCCTCATCCCCAATCCTTCCTCCCGTTTATCAATTTCTGGGTATAACATTACTGGTGAAAATACTCCAACTGTTAGTTCTTTACGTATATCTTTCAGGAATCCCCCCACCAACCACCCATCCCCCATTTTTCTGAATTGCATATTCTTTGCCACATCGGTTATACTGTCGCCGGAGCACTATCGAGTCACAATCATGATCTGTAGGGGTCCTGAAAAGTCGCTTTTTCGGGATATGATAAGAAGCAATTATACTGATAAATAATATTTATTGTGTCTGCCGAAGCTCATTAGAAAAAACGATGAGGCTACTTTGCCAGAAGATTGAGAAAAGAGGTTGGAAATGTCGTTTATCCAATGATATGTGGCATTATAAATTTATCTGGAACTTCCGGATCAGAATTCCGTATAGGGATCTGGGGTGTGTGTGTGGGGGGGGGGGGGAGTTTTCTCCCTCATTCGTTATCGGTAGATATTTTAAACTACAATGACGTATCCAGATCTGCAGTATTAGGAGGGGCAAAACACCAGTGCTTATGGTGGTACGTATAGCTCAACAAGAAAGTGCGAAGGGTCCCCATTCCCCAAAACAACTGATTCTGAATATTCTTTAATTTTGTTTGACCGAGCAGTTAGTTTTGAGACTATTTTGTGCGTTTCCAACAGTGCCCAATACAAATCTCACCATTATTATCTTACCCTTTATTTCCCAACCTGCTAACTTTTTTTTTTACCTGACTGAATATTCTATTCTTGGTCTAAAATTCGCCTATTTTCAAATACGCTAATGCTAAAGTGATAGATCCTCATCAACTTCAGAACCACATGTTACATAAATACAACAAAAATTTAATTGATAATGTTTTATTTTGAAAATATGTTTTCGTCACTGCTGTTGACTCTTATAACGTAGGTACTTGTTGTCTACTTGGGATTCAATGTAACATGCATGAATTGTATGGATGTACGCTAATATATCTATATCATATATTACTCGGACTATACAACCATGATATTAAACAGTATGTACTACTTTTCTAGCGTGATAAACAACAAACAAAAGATCATGTGAGGGGTATTACAAATCTTTGACTGTCAGTTTCCTTTCTTGAAAACTTCATCATGCATGCAAACATTATCTTAGGTTTGTCATGTACTAATGTTGATTTTGATAAATGCTCATCATGTGTGCTCCCATGGGAGCTTTTGTGTTATAGGAGGGGAAAAAAAGTTTGGCAAATATCCAACTATGTTTCGGAGCGAGATTAGACCCATGCGTTGCTCATTGTTGAGCCATGAATACATATCTCTATTCAAAAGAAATATGATTCTACAAATACGTATTCATCTGTGTTTCCAACATTATTATTATCATCACTATAATTCGTTACTTATTTAGTTTGTGTGGATTTCTTTGGATGAAACGATCCGTTAAAGAAATTATTTTCGACACGAGATACAATCAATAATATAAACACCTAAAAGCATCTAAAAATGATTCGATGCATTTGAGTCACGAACATTGCCATCGCTTAGGTTAAACCTTCGACCTAACACGTCTGGTAGTGATTTTTCAACCCATCTTACAAAGATTATTACGACAGCAAAAAGAAGGGTAGACCAACCAACGCATGTTGAAAGACCTAATATCTTAGAGGTACATGATTGTGTATATGAGTGTTTATTAAATGACGAACTAGAGGAGAATGTTCTGGAGAATCTAAGTCTCTAGATCCATCGCATCACCCCACAACAGCCTGCAAGCCACGGGACATAGATAAATAGATAGATATAGAAGACGAAGTCATTCTGCCGTCATCCAAATTATTATATAGGAGTCGAATTTCTGCTACTTATGTCGGAAACCGAAGAAAACAATATAAAAGTAAGTTAATACTCATTATCAATTTCAGCATTGCCTAACATCATCGTTTACCCTTTCCCTTTCTCTTTTTTTCAGATGAAAGGTCACTAAGATACTCACAGTAAGAGCTGAAAACGGACCGCGAATGCAAACATCTCACCGAGAGTAAACCCGTTCGCAAATGTTTGATCGTCTCGTGTCTCGCCTCCCGTAGTGGGACAAGATAACATTCGCGACAGAAGGAAGGAATTCCTTTCTTCATTTTCACACCATGTTGACGATGTTCGAGGATTATTCTCAGTAAATTGAAAACTCATCCGCTGATCTCAACGCATAATCCGTTAAAAGCAACGCCCAAGTCATCTTACATTCTGCGATATTCGAACATTGTTTACACATTATTATGAAAGAGTTTGGACTATGTGTTATGTTTTAACAGCCAGGTGTGACGTCTTTTTTCCTCGCTGGAGTCCGAACGGTACTTTTTGGTCATCTTGACGTCAATTCTCCTATTTCACCTGTAATCTGATAAAGGCAACTCCCCAAACAACATCCATTCTGCGACTCTTCATCTAGTCGCCATCGTTATGAAATACGCATGTTGAAGAAGAAAAAGAAAATGATTTTGTCATTTTTTAACAATTTTAAGACATGCATCATTTTGCCTATCTCGGAGTCCGATGATAGTGGAAAAAGAATTGCAATGTATTGTCTCAACTAACTCACTGAACACTAGCGTTCGAGATTCATCACATCTAAAATTATGAGAAATTTGCACTAAGTATTGAAATGACATAAAACAGGAAGTGTTTGGTTAAAAAAGTTTTCGGAATTTTGTTTCACAATGTACTTGAGTGCATGATCATCGATGCACACTGAACATCTAGAACAACTACATCATCCTAAATTCGTTTTTGTGTCGTATGTCAGAAAAGCAGTCTTTGATACAAAGTAAGCCCTTGATTCTGGATAGGAACAACATTGTTTGGAACCAGGGACGGATACTAATATTTTGATCAGTGATTGAAAATAGCTGGACCCTAAACGTGAGATGCAAGGTTCGGAACCCTTTATGAGCGACATGGGGCTTGTACCCGTAGCCACCGGGGAGAGGGAGGTATCTCTTCACCTCTACCGCCGTAATAGCTGCCAACAGGAAAGGTTGCAGCATGATCTGCAACGGCTTCAGTACCAGGTAAGGTTATTGATTGATTGAAATTAAGAGATTCTTTGAAGCTTTAAAAGCAAAGCAAACAAGGGGCCCTAAAGTTGTTTCCGTGAGCAAGAGTTAGGAGTGGGGATTGTGTGGTAGTTGCACATTAATATTAAAAAACACCCACACTCTTTACAGGATTTATTTGAGTCTGCGATATCTGAACTCCTTCCACTATGAACATGACTGACAATGAGAGCGGACAAAATATACAGTTCCTCAGGTAGACAAAGGAACATCCCTTCACTGCTATTATGTAAAAATGTGTAGAACAGGTGTCACATGCATATTCACCTTTTTACATAATAGCTGTGAAGGGATGTTCCTTTGTCTACCTGAGGAACTGTATATTTTGTCCGCTCTCATTGTCAGTCATGTTCATAGTGTTCCTTGCCTGCCCCCAGCCCAAATCGACGCCCTTTATTCAGGGCTATAAGTGTTAGCAGAATTCCTGGTTTACTGTAAAACATACAAGCTGCTGTAAATTTAATTTTCTTTACCCAAGCATTTATTTTCTACCACCGTGGTACCTTTGAATTCGACAGTGGAATTCGATGTGCATTTACATTGAATTTACATTGACTGAAATATATCTTTTGTTTTCAACAGCAAGAGCGAGTGTTGCGAAAAGCCAACCGCGAAATCATCGATCTTAACTTGGAACAGAAAAAGCGACGAGAGACCTTAAATCGTCCCCGACGTCGATCAGAGTGCCTGGGAGTTCAAAGACATCCGGGTTCCAGCGACAACCACCCCCACGGTGATCATCGTTCACTTAGTCGACTCAAAGCAAGCAGCCATAGCAGTATTCATAGTCCTGTTTCCCGCTCGCCGTCATCGCCGTCTTCGTCGACCAGTGGGTCGTTTCCACGACGTCGAGCTTCCATCAGCACACCGACAAGTCTTCCGCCGTTGCCGCGTGCAACAACGACAACAGAAGCTTCAAGCTTTAGCCCGGTTGAGCGCCCGAAGTCGAGATCATTTGAAAAACTGCATTCGAGTTCTTCCACCTCGGTCGCCACTAAGTCGTCATCGTCCATACATGAGATATACATGGACTCCAAATCGAAGAAAGACTTGACTAGATTGAAGAAGGCCTCAGATCGATGGCGCAACGCGGCTCATCAAGTTACGAGCGTCGAGAGATCGGGCAAGCCTCCCATTCCGACGAGCTCGTTTGCCAGTTCGTCCACCGATAATAAATACGAGGTGCACAAGACGTCGAAGGTCTTCGACAGACTGAGTATGGATACGAAAACTTCCGCCATGTCTTCGGATAGTTTTCTCAAGTTGCTCAAGAATAAATACAAGAAATAAGACACGAGATCACTCTCAAAGACATAGTGGCCTTTAGTGGGCATATCTTAATAATAAGTGCATTTACACAGACATTTCAATAATGCCGTGGCATATTTTGACTGCTCTACCAAAAATATTACCTTTTAATTTTTTTCTATCTTTTTTTCTTTTCTTTCATTTTCATCTTGAATCTTGCTGTACCATAATTTTATATAGGCCCTAATTATTCGCTTTTTTGAGCATCATATTTCGTAGCCGTCTTCATGTTTCGCATGACGTGTTACAGCTTCTGGTGGTATTCTTTGCGGTTTTTAAATCTCAATTTGGTTGCAACTTCCTTCCTCGCCCCTTTTCAGTCTTTCTCACAGTTCAAAACTGTAAATTGTATGTTTTTCGTAACTCGATTAAGGGTGGAAGGTGGACCGGTTGAATTGGGGGCATTAAGCATTAATATGTCACATTCCCAAAAAACATAAGTGGGGACAAATAATTGTATTCACATACTTCAAAATTAGAGAAAAAAAATTGGTAAGAGTATGAATAATTTAGGTTATATATTGTATATCATTCTTTCATTCAGATATCGATCATTATATTCTTAAGTATTTGCATGCTTAGAATTGTTCATAAAATAGAGCTTTATTTTTCTCCTTCGGATCCTTTGGAAGGTAGAATAGACAACATTTATTGTTAGAATCGGTTCGGATTAACTTAACTCCGCTATATATAAATGGTTATGAATACATGGTATTTTTGTTTACCTTCGTTTGAAATAATTGTAGTTCAATTTCAAAACATACATGCTGTATAACAATTATTATTGATGTATACTTTTCACACTGCCCGTTTCAGTAACTTCCCAAATCGTTTTATTACTTTACGTATTATTTACTAAATATCAATTATACCTCAGTCATTCCGCCAAAATCAACTCCAGAGTCCATACCGATCAATGGTTGACCATTAGGAGTAATTTTTTAGTTTTGTTCGGTCTTTTGTCGGTGTTCTGTTGGTTACATCGGTATGACTGGGGTATTATGAGTTATGTATTCAATAAAGTTCAAAGTTTTAAGTTCAAAGTTCAATGTTCAAAATTATATTTCCATTTTCAACAAGAAACAACATTTTACAAAGTACACAAAAGTAATTAGACAAGTGTACATGTTGTTTTTCTTTGCATATAATAAAAAACATTATTAAATTGATTTAACTGTATAACTCCGTCCTACAAGTTTTTATATTCCGCCCATGCCGAATAACAAGGGCTTCAACTATCCGTCCATGACATAGGAGCGAGAAGTCAATATTCTTAGTATAATTTGAATAATGTGAAATAAATATATCACTTATTTTCTGATAATGCAGTATATATGAATGACGTCTATAGAAAATGTGAATGTTTCGAAGTTCGTATTATGTTTCATTGAATGTACATGTTCAATGTCCGACCGTTGATATGTTTTGAAGAAATTAAAGTATGTCACATTAAGCAACATCATGACGGTTACAATATGATCACTCAGTCATCCTTTAAAAATATTGTAACTATGAAGGCAAAATAAATGAATGAAAAAAAATATTACCATCCAAGCTTCATGAAAATGATCTGCTTTTTGTCAGTCAGTGAGGATGTTCTCTATAAGCCAGTGCTCAGCGTTTACTTCCTACCTTTATTCCAATCTAAAAGTAGGCATACAATTCATGTGAATATCAATATGTTGGTGTTCGAATAATCAATTTTAGGTTTAGTGTTTTCTCCGACTACATTTGCATATCTGGGTGGCTAGTATAAAATGTAGTTTGTTGGATTCCTCCATTTTATGACCATTTAACCCTTCTCTTCTCTTGCTCTCTTTACTGTTTATTCATAATCACTCTATCACCCACCTCTCTCTCTCTCTCTCTCTCTCTCCCTCTCTCTCTCTCCGATTCTCTCACTGTCTCCCTCCCTTCTCTCTGTCATTTTCTCCCCCCCCCCCTCTCTCTCTCTCTCCCTCCCCCCCTCTCTCTCTCTCTCCCTTCCTCCCATGAACCCACAATACTGCTCCTTTTCAGTTTAACCGTTGTTCCGTTTCAAATGATTTTAACTGATCTAAGAACATTAGTAAATTAATAAAAGTGTAAACGATTTCAATTTTACCACATGTTTATAATTATTCACAATATACAGTATAGACTGATTATACATTCTACTATACGAATGATGCCTTCCTATTTGACCGGGAAACTTTGGGAAATCGCAGAATAGATTGTCCTTTCGCGATTAGGCATATGCCTCAAAGGTACTATTTCCCATTTGCAGGCCAACAAATGAAAAGGTTTAATTCCAACGGCATTTGAAAGATAATCCTAATTTACAACTTCCCTCAAAACAAAAGGGCTTGAAAATATCTTTTTGTGGGAGAATAACGACCGTCAGTTGTCGAATCGAATTTAGCAATCGTGGTCATTTAATTAAATAGTCTTCAGACCCTTGTAATGAATGGTCGTAGGTTTTGTGCTGCGCAAAGATTCAATTAGTTTAAATGGGGGGGGGGGGGGGGGGGGGGTGTCTCACCCATGTAAAGATGGGAGTGTCATACCCTCTAAATGCACACTTGGGGTAGTCATATTAGGCATCACTTCGTTTGGAGTTGTAACAAAAGTCCACGCTCATAACTAGTGGCATCCGTTCGCAAAAGAGTAATTCAAACACTAGATGGGTGGATTACAGTCCAAAGCAACTGATCCCTATAATGTATCCCAAAAGCGTGAACCCCCAACCCTCTGCATAAAGAGATTAACAATTCGTATTTCAACCAGATACTTCCATATATATATATATATATATATATATATATATCATTTAATATCTGGAGCTTTGAGGAAATCCCATTGCAATTACATTTTGTTTTCCATCATTATAACCACGACCCTGCATATGTTGACTTGGTTGCAATTTATTTCAAGTCCCTGATACAAGAAGTACAGTGTATAAACATTTCTACAAGTTCTGTGCTTTCCAGCAGTTTGTATGGTTCAGTGTAACCAATTATTAGTATTTGTTGTTGTTGTAAGATTTAACGTTTCACTTATTTGACTCTTTCAATGAAACTACTTAGATTCATTTCTCCATCTTTTCGAGCATATCTTGATAGCCCTTACTCCATCTGATATAGCGACAGTTCTTCATCGACATGATGAACTCCGACATGTCTTCCTTCTCAACCGGTGTCGTAGATCGAGACGTACTCGCCGACTCCGTCGTTTCGTTCCAGTCGACGCATTTCGTGACGAATGGCTTATCGTTATCGTCGTCCTCGTCGTCCATCGGCGTCTTGTCGGTTTCGTGGTCAATGATCTCGGCTTCGGTCACAGCAGACGAAGACGGTTTGGGAGAAGCAGGAGGTGGTAGGTCACGATCGAAGATACTTTTGATTCGATAACCAAGTTGAGCCACGGTGATTTTCCCGTTGCCCTTTTCTAAGACAATGTCCTCGTACAACCGACCGTCTTGGGGATCTAGCATGAGAGCTTCGACTTCGTGAACTTCCGAATTTGGTGTGCGAGGACTCCGAGCGGCGTCTTCATGTCCACTGTCCACATCATTTTCGTCATCCAATGACGGCAATCCATTAATACCATCTTTTTCGACATTCTGCTCCTCTGTTTCTTTTGAAGTAGAATTATCAGCATCTTTATTCCCCTCAATGGCACCATGGCTTATACCATCGGCAATCTGTGTACTACCCGACGTTAGAGGAGGCATTGTCTCAGGACACACCGACTTTGATTCAGAAATGTCTTTTAATTTTTGTCGTGCCTCCGCCTTTTTCCTTGACGCCTGATTGAGTGCAGCAAACCTTTCCCGCTCGCGCTTCCGTCTTTCCCGCCTTTTTATATCTCTCTGATTGAGCCTCTCCCGTCTGTCCTCTTCCTCGAATCTCTTCATGTTTTCATTCCGAACAGCAAGTGGTGAGATCAAGCGAATATCCTCTAGATTCTCTGTATCGGCAAAACTCACGCCCTTTCCGCTCCCTGCTGATGAGCCTCTACGTTTTCTTCGCCGTGGCGAAAGAATAGATTTCATCGGTTTCTTATCCGTTGATGGTGGCGACATCTCTGCGAGGCATTCGTCACACAGGCATTCTTCGTCCGAGGATGACTCGTCAATCCCCATTGACATGAATGGAAAGTCAGTCAGGGGAGCCTCTTCGTTTTCCTTTTTGCACATCAACCTATTTTTGACGGTCTTGTTTTTGTTAACGTTGCTCCTTCCTCGAGATATATCAGACAGTTTGCTTGATACATCCTCCAAGACTGGCGTCACCAGGGCCAGCTCTGTCTCTATATCGTCATCGATGTCCAGCCTCTGTGAGGATTCATTGCCCTTCTCTTTCTCTGACTTCTTCTTACGTCTACATCTAGACAGTTTCTTGCAATGATTGCTTCTCTTCTTCTTTACTACAGGGTGAATTTTCTTGACACCCTCCAGTAGGGGAAGTTTCAACTCATCTTCGATGGGTTCTTGTTCTTCAGTCTCTATGTTGATAGGTTTACTGTAAAGTTTTGGGAGCCGGTACTCAACAGTATCACTCTGTGTTACACCACGCTCTTTAATAGTCGAGAAATCAAGGTTCTGTCTGTGTGTCACTTTCGTCACGATACCACCACTTCTTTTCGAATGCTCCTCCTCACTGTTAACTTTGTAAGAAGAAGTGTAATCATCCTCGGATTCGACCACGTGATCGTTCATGGAAGGAGAGACCTGTCGTCCTTGTTTCTTTATCTTCCGACCCCCGCATTTACCCTTCTTCAGTCTCCGATTGGCCTGCTCCCGGGTCTCTTCTTGCATCACCCTGAATACTTTCGAACTGTCCAGGGTGAATGCAGCGCCCTCTGGGTTCAGTCTTTCCATGTCACTCTGGTCGTCATCATCTAAATCATAACATTGGACACGAGTCATGATGTGCGGTATCTTGACGCTTTTCTTCTTAAGTTGCGACTTACCATCGTCCCAGAGGCCACACTGTAACGCTGCTTCAATCTTACGGTCGTCAACCCCAAGCGGGCGGATAGGTCCTCGTACAAGATCCGGTCGATGTTTCGACGCAAATGACTGCGAAATGTTCTCTAATTTCTTTTCTAACTGTTTCCCGCCTTTTCGCGCCCATTTCTCGTAGTCGTAGATGATGGCCTTTTCTCTGTTTCTGGTGAGCGATGACAGGTAGATGCGGTCGAGGGTGGTCTTGGTCTCTTTGACCTTTTGGAAGAACTCTCCTCTGAAGTCAGCATCCTTGGCTGAGACCCCATGTCTGCAGGTCAGCGCAGGAAGGGACCAGGTGAAGTTGACCGGCTCCGTGGCCAGAGGCATCTGAACAAAATATAAAGGAGAAATATATCATGTTATAAAATATTGCTGTTAATGAAAATTGTTCTATTTTGTTTTATTTATCTAAGATTCGGGTCCAGTTTAGGTATGAACATTCATTTAAAAAAAATAAACATATGACGCATTTGATCAACCATAACTAAAAAGTTACGACTAGGTCAAGCTGAACTTTGCACTATTTCTTTCAAGTTGGGGTGGAGGATGTCATCTCAATCTTGAAAATAAACTTGCCAGTTCTAAAGTTTTTGACACTCCATAGGGGATAATGTAATTTCTTCGTTGGAAATATATACGATTAGACATAAAGAGTTATAGATAAACGACCTGTCTATCCGAGAGTAGGGTGGTGGTTGCCGCATTTACTATTAATGTATGGTGCCAGATATAGGCCTATATCTCATTACAAAACATGTGCCGCGTTTTCATCAAAATATTTTACCCGTGTACTGCAGCCACAGTGATTGGTTCATTTATTTTATTGTAATTTTAACAGAAAAGCAACGTTTGATTATTTCAAACAAATTGGTTTTGAAAAAATTCACTGTATGAATTCCATCTCTAGAAGTTTGTAACAAAATGTATTAATTCCATGAATCTGAACAACTGAACACAAGAAAAAGTATGATATTCATGTTCAGTGTCCATTTATGATTTTTCGAATAAATACATCACAAAAAGACAACATTATAAACATAATCTAAACAAAAGGACAATGAGATACATAGGAAAACATGATTATGGGGTGTATTTAACATTTTTTGTTCTTAAAAAACAGAAAGGCTACATTCACGGAATTGGCGTTTGCTCTTTATCGTTGAGAGCGCTATCCAATTATTCCCTGAACCAAATATTGAGTTTAGAATAATTTGTTTGTCCACTGGCGAGACTTGAAAAATTTGTGAAGTGCATGTTTGAAAATCAGTCCAAAAGGCGATGGGAGAAAATGATGGGTCGCGAAAATGGTCTGAAATTCATTTTAATTAAATCTCCTGCTTGTTTAGATATGATTTTAGAATTCGGTATATGAGTAGAATTCGTACTGTTGAAACAAAAATGACCATTGATCTTCTCTAAATAAAAGAATTTTTCGTAAACTTTCATAGTTTATTTCTCTTACTTTCCAAGACAAGTTAATGAACGACCATGTCATATTTTGGTAGTATACATTGTTGCATTCATTGCATAACTCTTTTGATTTTGATTTTTTTTTTTTTAATTAAATCAATTATGAGAAAGCAACATGTAACTCAACACATGTTTGACAAAAAAAATCATACGACTTAAAAATACTTGAAAATAGCAATGATGAATAATAGTCCATTTCATCGAAACTATATCACTCGACTGCCTGACACAAGACGGTAATTGTATCGTCCAAATTGGAATAGCACCAAGTAGATACTCACCCTGGCAAATTGGCGAATCCACAAAAGCAGTCACTGAGTTATAAAAATTTCATATATTTATAAAGATGATCAATGATCCTGAAGATCCATAAGTCGAAGTAGATCCGAATATCTGTGACGAGGCTTCATTAAACAACTGTCCTTGGCGATGATGACATTCAGGTTAAACTTCAGGTTATATTTGCATGTCAGAATCGCGTTTATATGATTCTACTTCCTATCTTGTATAGGACATATAGATGAACAGTCAAAGATGTTCCACAGACGTAAAAATAACCCAGATCAATGTCTCGAAAGGAGAATCAGAAATGTCGTTTTACTGACATAAGAGTCATGAAAACTGCAACATTATAGTTGTTGATGAAGTTGTTTCCTTTTCTCCAATCCAATATCTATCGACTTTTGAATTATGATGCTGTGGCGATCTGGCGGTTTTCGGAAAGAATAATGAAAGTGAGTGGCTGTCTTCAAGATATTGAGGTAGTGATTTGGGCGATAAGTTGGGATACGGGAAAGTCATGACTCCTGGTCTGTTAGGTTTCCAAGATGTTGGGATGTTGGTTGCCTAAGGAACAACGTCATTGCTTGCACTCGCATCAACAATTACCCAAGTCAATCATTCTGATTCATTGAGCAACAAGGAACGTGGTGACATGTCTATTATCCAGATCAATTGTCTCCGCCTTTCGACATTGACATGTCTTTTATTTCGGAAGTCTAATTCCCTACCTATCCTATTCTTAAAGGAAATGTTTCTACAATAAACACGACGAGGGGATAATCGGTTTAGATGTGTAAGTGGCATTATGAACATGACGAAAGAGCCAATTGAAATGAAAGAGTCCTGTTCATGGAATGATTCAATAGGCTTAAGCTTATTGTCGGATTAGTTAATCCTACCCATAATGATCCCTTAACACAATAAGCACACGTCCTTCAAGTTCAGATAATTGAATAGGATTAAACGATTGAAAGAGCTCTATGAAGGTGTCAGAAGCCCATCAATCAAGTTGAACAACAACATCTCTTTCTTCTTCTTCTTGGTAATGGGGTAGTATCTTTCTTATTTTTATTTTTTTATTTTTTATTTTTTTTTATCTCTCACTTATTTATGTTGAATAAATGTTTTAATACGTTTGGTAATAACTAACGAAGCACTTTGGAAGCGCTTTATTACGAGAACGGAATATCATACGTGTTCTTTATGTTACAGCAGTATACAGTAACAGATATTAGAATTATTATTTTCAGTCATTTTACGCCAGTTTAGATCAAAAGGTTATATAAATTATTAGGATGATAAATGTTCACGGTGTGATTATTTTATCATTGCTGATGACTCAAGATAATAGGCATGACATTAATAGGAAAACGAGTGCATCATTTACTCACAATTAAGGCTTATAGTCAATAAATATAAATATCATTGCTGGCTGTAATTAGACTTTAATTTAATCATTATTATATGTTTGTCATACTCCCCAAACATGCATCTTTTCAATTCTTTAATAATCCACCTATCGTATTAGTTTTTAGAGCATTAATCACCCCTATAATTATTATTGTCAAAGTATACGAGTAAACGTTATTATGAAGTGATCAGGGTGCCTTTAATGCACTAATTATATATTACAACTGCTACAATAAGAAAACGAGTAAATTGAAATAAATCAACTTAACTCTGTCATGATTTTGTTTCATATAAAAGTGAGACAAAATATGTTCTCTATCCCTGCTGTAATTAGGATTTATTCTGACTGTTAATGTTTACATGGGGCATTGAACTGCTATAGTCTGCTACGGATCACAATAAAACTTCTAATCGAATGTGAACGTAAATTCGTCACATTTTCAAATAGTTTTTAATGAAGCATGTTATAATATGTCACCTCTTTAGAATTAAAAATCACGTCATTTTTCAAAGCTACTTATAAACTATTATATCCTTGAACACATATATAATTAAACGAATGAATCGAATAAAGGCACCAATAAATAATCAATAATTTGTCTCATGAGTGTGAAACAAATTCACTCTATTCCCGAGACGTGTTCAGATTGTCAAAATGAGGCAGTGAACTTCAAGTAAAGTTGATGAAACCGAATAGATTGCACACAATACTCCATCTGCAACGATATCTAAAACAAAAGAATTTAAATAAATCAACTTCGTCGCGGCTAGTTATATGTTGATGAGTGTGACAAATGCACCATATTCCTGCTGTTTCGATGACGTGTTCTGATTGCTAACATGGGACATTGAACTTCAAGTCAAGTTGATGAAGTCAGATAAAATGTCACGTCCACGATGATGACCCAATCAGCAAGGATTATCACTTTACAGAAATCAACACTAATCTACACGTTTCCTGTTCATCTTAGAGGAACTAATCACCCTCTAGAATAAAAGTTTAAAATATATTCTAAAGCTGTGTGAAGCGGCATCATAATATATTTTAGTATCATTATCATGGATATTAAGTTTGGTATAGATTTTAAACTTGTTCCCCTAAATTAATTAATGCCCAACACTATTTCTACGCCTGTCACTCTCTGTCTGTCTCTGTATGTCTGTCTCTGTCTCACTCTGTCCCTCTCTCTCTCTCTGTCTCTCTGTCTCTCTGTCTCTGTCTCCCCATCTCTCTCTCTCTCTCTCTCTCTCTCTCTCTCCTCCACCCATCCCTTTCCCTGACTTATCTCCTCTTAAACCTATCTTGCGCGATCCCCTTCAAATTCAAATGGTCTTGATAGTTGAATTTTTCCCCTTATAAATAAAGTTTAATTAAGACCGTCTGCCATTAAATAATAATTATACCTTGAAGTCAGAGTTGCTTTAAGTTTAATAATGACCGAAGGATAGCTGATGAGCGTGATAATGACTAATTATTAGCCTTCTTAGGTCCAGGTCATTCTAAATTGGCCTATTATACAGCCTGAGTAATCGAGACTAAACCCTTATTCATCATAAAGCATTGAATTGACGGTAATCATTTTTTGTTGTCGTGTGCATACTACCCAATAAACAAAATCACGTGAAAATCACGTCAATATCAAGGTATCGACTTGAGGAGAGTTACGTTCTTCAAACACCGGACATTTACGTAAATGTGTTTATACGTTTATTGCACTAGGTCACTTAAAACACACGTACACTAAATCACGCAATTGTCACTGCAATATCACCATCATAATAACGTGCTTATCCCTACCTTGGAGACCATGGTTTGGAAACCTAATACTCCCGTGTTTTTTTGGTTATGATATTACATCTTCATAAACGAAATTATCGCGTCACAGAAACACGTGAAGCGTTAGTGATAGTTTTAGTCAAAATACCTGCGTGAAATTCACGTGAATATTACGTCGAAGAGGAAATATATTACTGTAACCCACGTTCAACCCAATAATTACGCAAATGTTACACAATAAACCAAAATAATGGGGATTAGAGGGGGGTGGGGGGGGGGGGGGGGGGGGGGGGGGTCGGGGGTGGTTGCAAACATCCCAGAGGAGAAAGCTAGTTGCAACTGGTCCAGTTGATGAACCAGTTAATGCCAACTGGTAACCCCGGAAATTGAAGTGGGCTAAATGATCCAGTTGGTCCAGACCAGTTAGAATTCAACTGGTCTAGCTGAGCCATTAGAATCATTTGGTAAAACTTCCAACCAGTTGAACGGCAACAACACTTCAATACTGGTACGTCTGTATTTCCAATGTAAAGGCATTGGTAATAAGTAGACTTACAAAATTTAATTAATCGAAATTTTTTCATATACTTGTATTTTATTGAAATTATTTTAGTTCTAGTTAATGTTTTCCTTATTCATGTTTAATTAAATGTAATTTATACGAAGTAGCGAAATGTCCTAATAACTGGTAATTTATATTTGTAGTATTTTCAAAATGAATTGCATATAAATAAATCATTAGTAATTAAGAAATATGCTGTAAATTCAGATAAACTGTTTAAAAACATAGATCTGCACGCACCCCATATTCAATATGCAAATTAATTTGTGTCAACTGGTTCAACTGGAAACATGCCAACAGTCAGACAGCAGTCATCAACTGGTGCAACCTGAAATATGCACACAGACCGGTTATCAACTGGTGCAATGAAAAGATGCCAACAGTCAGTTATCAACTGGTGAAAATAGAAATATGCCAACAGACACGGGATTATCACCACGGAACTTAAATGGTAACTGTGAAACCATCAAGACACCCAAGAATAACTCATTTTTCACACCTGGAAATCACGGAATACCCAGCTTAGATTAATAATCCGTTTGAGTCACGAGATCATCACCGCGGAACTGCTGGAAACTTTGACTACCATTTACATAGGTGTTTTAAGACACCTAATAATTACTAATTTTTCACACCTAAATATCACGAATTCACAGCTTAGATTAGTAATCAGTTTTAGCTACGTGATCATCACCAATAAAGTTATGGTAACTTTGAAACCATTTAAAAGGTGTTTTAAGACACCCAATAATTACTAATTTTTCACACCTAAATATCACGGATACACAGCTTAGATTAGTAATCAGTTTTAGCTACGTGATCATAACTAAGAAAGTTATGGTAACTTTGAAACCATTTAAAGAGGTGTGTTAGACACCTCAGAATTACTAATTTAATATAACCAGAGATTCACGGACAGAACAATAAGACGATTAGCCGGTGTAAGTAACGTGATTATTACCATCAACCTTGGATAACCTGTGAAACCAATCGATTAAGGTGCTTACAAGACCGAATAATTACTTATTTATCACCACCATCGGTTAACGGACAAAAAACTCGTTGCTTGGTCAAGTGGTTATTTGGTCATAAACACGTGATTTACAGAGGTAAGTGGAATCACGTTACTCCAGTCGCGTGATGAATTGGTGGTTTTTAGGTTAGATGAAAGCGTGAACAGGAGTACCTTTTTTTAAAAATAAAAGCACGTGTGGATAACGTTTAAATTCAGTTCAAAGGGCACCATACTTTAAAATCACTTAAAATACACTCCCCGAAAGAGGTTACTTTTTAGTGTTTTGTTTATTGGGTATACAATGTAAATGACCCATCATGATGAATATTTAGATGTTGTCATTTCTGAGGCCTTTACCTGGAAGTTAAAGTACTCCCACAAAAGTGGTGCAGTCCCTTTGGAGGAGGAGGGGGGGGGGGGGGGGGGGGGGGGGGGGGTGACATCATTTGCAAAAATGGCGCTTTATCTATATTACATAATGTTGTCATGCATATTAATTTGTCTAGAATATTATTTAAGTTAGTAATGTCTGTTAGGAGCCAGGGATTACAAATTATCAAATAATTCCTCTGGCTCTCAACAGAGAGATCAAAATTACATTGTTATGTTATTCATGTTATTTGGAGTTATTTGTCTATGATAAATTATGTTAATGTATTGTATTTATTTTATAGAAATGTGAGTCGTAAGACGATTTTTATGCCTTCGTTTTATTTTGTGCTTGACAATAAAGAAATTCAATACCCGGACACAGTCTATAATGATCATGGACCTACTAAGAAGTTCCATGCTATGATATCGGCACATTGCAGTTTGCAGGCATAACCAACCCTTCCCCCGCTAGTTCTTAGCGCTTTTCAGGACCCCCGCCCATCGGGTTCAGGCTTACCCGCACACAATGTATGCACATTTTCCACTCCCTGGGGAGCATTCCAGCCAGGCGTCATTTTTACAAGCGCACACTTGCTATAATATAAGCACATTAGCTTATACCACTTCCTACCTGGAGGGGATGGGTGTGAAGGGGTTCATAACTTTACACAACCTCTTAAAATTATTATGCCCTATACTTCCACCGATAAAGGGTTGTATTGAAGAAATTGTGACATTGACCTCCTGTGAATATTGGTTAACTTCCTGCAATGATGGGCTAATGTGCTAAAAACTCTTAATGGGACGATTAGGCCTATTGCTCTCACGATCAAACAAAATTTGTTATAATGTAGATTTCAACTTTGAGTGACAGGATAACTCATTTAACCGATGTGATGTGGTTTATTCATGTTTGTAAGTGAAGGCCTATATTGGTTTATTGTATTTATGTGTGGTTGTTTTTTTTTACGCAAAAGTATTGACATGATTATGCAGAAACTTACTAATACTAACAGGGGAATTCCCGAAACTGACGGGGTCTGTTGTAGGCTATATGCATCTTGGCAGCAACGCGCGTTCTTAAAGCCCCATTGCAAGATGACTATTGATTTTCATCCGGAGTCTTCAAATGTAGGGAAGGTGAGGGGGGGGGGGGGGGGTGCATAGGCTATTCTTTCATTAAAAAAAACTCTCTCTATCAAATAGGGTCGGTGCCAACCCCAACCCCCCATATTTGAAGACCCAGACAATTTTAGTTTCATGGTACACAAAGGGCTCCTTTCTACAAAAAAGGAAGAAATATTTCAACTCCTGCTATTCCCCCCTTTTTTTGGACACACGTCACAGACGGTATGTATATGGATGACGACGATGCTGATGATCATGCTGATGCTGATGATGATGATGATGATGACGTCGAATACCTTTCCTTCCAATAATTTAGTATGACTACAAACTTCTGTAATATTCTTCAAAAACATTTCGTAAAAGAAAATGGGCAACTGAAGAAATATCCTCCTTTTTCCCGAAAATTTAAGAAGAGGGGCGTAGCTGCTGAAAGTGCTCGTGATCTACCGTAGATTTCCATCATCTATTATGATTCTACACGTGCACGCCTTCTCTCCTCCCGATCCGTTCACGCATGCGTAAACTTATAATAACATTAAAGCCAATATGGCCGCTGTGTAGACTATCGATTTGGATAAGGAACTGGAAATAAATTATAGCGTAATTCGACTTTCGTGCATACTTTCAGCTTGTCGTAGGGTAAGTTATATCCATGTGATGTCTTTGGATTGGAATATGTATTCAGATTGAATGAGATGTGAGTGATTTAGATAATTTTGCCAAACTTGTACCTCGATTTGAGCAGACAAGAATCTTCATTCATTGACATGACATTGCCCGCTGTGCCGTGCGGACAGTCGTGTGATCACTGGCAGACACTGCACTGCTGCATTGAAGCTGTACCGTGACAGGGCCGAACACATGAGCCTGTGCTGCCGCAGTGCAGTGCAGTGGTCACTGGTCCACCGCTAGTTTCTGGGCCTCTTGCTGTGTTTTTAACTGAGTGGATAAAATGCAATCTGGCTGGCATGGCAGCTGTTTTCTTGCTGTACAGTGCTGTCAATTATTTTTTATTACCAGTGTTGTTGTTCCAACTGAAGAGTGTGTGATGTTGAATGAAAATGTCAAATTCCAAAGTCAAAGACAAAGTGACACAGCTCAGACAGTCAACGATCAACTCGACCAAGTTTTTATTCTTTGCACTGGCTTTGCTATTCAATTCAATTCAAAGAAATACCAGTAGATGTATTACCAAAACACAAACATGAAGCAAACAGACAAAAAAAAAACATCAAACAAACAAATGAAACATGAACAAACATAAACTGACATTAACACTTCAACAGACTAGACACTAGACTTTCGATCAACCAATGTCTCATGACGAGTCAAAACATTGACTAGACAAGCCAAGACAATTCTTGTAAATTCAGACAAATTGCAAACTCAAACTCAAACTAAGCAACTTCATCAATAACTCATTTCCCAAATCATGCAGTCAATAGATTTGGGAGAATAATTTCTCCTTCCACATTTCGATTTCGTTATAATATTACATGGTGATCCAACAATGATGTCCTCCTGTGACAATTGCTCCAGGCTGTATTCGTCACACGTGCATCAATACAAATAATGTGAATAGGATTAGTGTGATTGCGCAATGTATTATTGTTCATACATGTAGTTAATAGCCTGTGAATGTAATTTGTAAAGTCACGCATGTTTTGAAGGTTCGTTGGACAATAGTACATACAGTACATTTTATGCCTGACAATTTTCTCACCATGGCATTGTTTATGAGTTGTGTGATATTTGGTGGGTATTCTGGTCTTAAAACTTTGAGATTTGTACGTCTATTTAAGGTCAAGCTTATCTCCAAAAGTGCAGCTATTCAATTTTTTCCACAGTATGTTTTACCTTTTATTAGTCAGAAAGATAGAACCAGTCAGACTACTCATTGGACTTAAATGAGGCTGCCTGGTAAGGGATACAGTAAGCAATGTCAAGCTCTCTGGAATTAAACTTCTTTAAGCTGCATTCAGAAGTGACATAGAAAACAGCTTTCAAAAGATGAATGCCTTAGCAAATTTGGCAGGGCAACCAACCTTTTTTAAGAAGTTAAATTTGGAGAATAAAGGAAAATAAATCAGTCAAAGTTTGACCAAAATTTGACCAACAATAAGGAAAATGATTATTTTTAAATTGCTTGTGTAATTCTTGCATCAACTTTTTATTGGAACTGATGTTGGATGTAGACACGTCCCATGGCTCTACACCTATTTGTTTTGTTTTATTGTGTGTATGTTGTTGTGGTTGTTTTTTTATTGTTTTATTATTATTTTTCTTTTTTTAAACATGGGTCTGGATTGAAATATCATAGGCCTGTATGAACCACCCCCCCCCCCCCCCCCCCCCCCCCCCCCGTTCTTAGGGCCAATGTGCATGGGATCCCAGTTAGTGTAGAGTCCTGTTCATACCCATGCACAGTGAACATGCACATTTACATGTACTTGAAATCTGCCTTTTATCTTGTGAAAATGTGTATTGGAAAATCTGTCCAAAATGACTTGGATGGTGACATTGATATAGAGTATTAGAGTTGCCTTGAAACTTCAAGTTATTAGATATTAGTACAGATTTTGTCTCATTGTAATTGCATACATGTAATGTCTGCATTTAAAAGAAAACAGTCAAAAGTAGTGTGGTTTATTTACATTGAAGTGCTCATTTACATATTCAAAAGGTGTTTGTTGTATCGAAACTGATCTTACTGTACATGTAGTATCGATGAAAGAAACTAATTCAATGTAGTAATTGTCTCAGGAGTGTCCTATTAGATTGTCATTGTGATACAATAGAACCCATTGATTGCATGTTAAATGGAAATCAAACCTTGATAGCAAACTAATCTACAGGATAGCAGAAAAATCAGAGAAGTAGACTGGTGAAAGTTTTAATGTATTGGACAATGATTTAGATAGTTATGTATTTTTTTAAAAGTTGTAATTGAGTCATGTACATGTACGTACAACATATATGTACATGTACATGTAGATAAGGGCTCTTCAAGTTGGCTCATTCGTTAATGTCTCTTTGATGTAGTGGCGGACAACTTTTCTATTTGTTCCGACGCACTAAAATTACTAAAATGTAAATTTTTCAAAAATGTATGACTCGAGAGGGTCTATTCTCTTTATCATACCAATGTGCTATCTACATGTATGTATTCTGAATTAAATAACCAAAGTGAGTAGAAGAAAAATAGAAATTGATGATATTTTGTACACAACATAACAGGAGAGTTTTATGTGCCTACGCCACAATCCACTGACCAAACTGCCAATTGGAGCTTCTTATACACTGTAATGTAGACTTAGTGATCTCAGGACTATTTCAAACATTTATGATTTTCTCATTATTGTTAATCTTGCTTTTATGCTTTCATACAAATGAAATTATTACAAGGGTTGGATTGCCCTTTAAGATCGTATTTAGTGAAGACAATAATGTACATGGTCATGTACTCTCTACCGGTAGATTTAAAATTATTCAGAAATAGTTGTGAATATTTTTGTTGTTGCATGATTTCAAATAATCCGGGTAACAAATGATTAATTTTTGTGAAGCAACCATTGTGAATGTACTGTAAGCTGTGAACCACAAGTCACATGGATCTAAATCTACACATGTAATCATATACTTACTGTACAGCAATTAAAAACTCTCCAGTCTCCACTCCATGTTGTTTGTTTTAGTTATTGGTTCATTGATGTACAGACTTAATACAAGTACTGTATTATACATCATTTTATTTGCTCAACTGTTTAATTTTTAGCTACATGTATTGTATAGAGTAAATTAGACTAATATTTAGAATTCCCAGACCTACTATTTTTTCCCTCCCTCGTATAATTCAATAATTTAAGTGGCTGTTTTCTTCAGTCTGGAGTGCACTGTGACTGAAGTGCCCTCTACAAAGTCAAATTTAAAATCTACACTAAGATATTATGAATGAATCAAAAGAAGATTTTTTTTCATGCACCCACTTCTTGCACAATTAATTGCAAGGTTGAATTGCTATTGTAACAAAGATTAAATAAGCCTGCCTTCTATCTGGAGTAAAAAGGAATGATGCAGAAATACATGTAGAGTGCGTACATTAAGTCAACATCAAGCAACGAGGATAAACGATTATGAAGGGAGGGAAACAAGACAATCGGTTTAGTTACAATGTATCATGCAGATAGGATAGAGTAATGAGAGAATCTATTTATCAATGGGCTGACACCACTGTGCTAATCCATTCCAATAGTGTGCTAATTTCTGTGTCAATTTCATGGCCAATACTCCCAGACTTCGCTTGATTTGAATACAGTGCTCTACATGTAATATTGTACATACGTGTATCCATGGTTTGTCATGAGTCATTGGACTGTCATTACGATCACTTGAGTCGACTACAGTACATCATTTGAAAATTAAATTACATTCACTAGACATCTAGACATGATCGAATTACATGTGTGAATTGTTTTTATTTGGTGTTGAACAAGGTGTGTATTCATTCATTGTAATATCAAAAGAAAGATTCAATGATTTAATTGACAGTATTATTCAGATATAGAACAGGAACCAGAATCCATTATAGCCTAATCATTTTTATTTAATGCAATTAAACGATAGATCTTTGAGAGCTTTGTTTACATAATTTACAAGATCAAGATGTACATACACTTGTACAGCTCGACATGTACGGTAATACATGTTAAGCCTACATGTACACTGTACATCATGAGCGAGGCAATCTAATGCAAGCAGTGAATATCAAATTTTGGATTGCATGTGTTCATGTTGTATGACAAGTTGTACAAATATTGAGATGTATGTGTCACACTTATTTGATATTAGCCCTCATGTGTGGGATTTGACATGTACATGTACATGTAGGAATGTATCTCTCCACCCCCCCCCCCTCCTCTCCACCCCCTCCCCTCCCCTCCCCTCCCCTCCCCTCCCCTTCCCTCCCCTCCCCTCCCCTCCCCTCCCCATGTACATGTAATGTAAAGTGTAAAATGCATTGGAAATCCATCATATTATCTAGATTTCAAGTTTGGCTTACATGTACATGTAGTTTAAAGGTAAAGACCAGTTATGGTCATGCGATTGCATTGTGAAAGAAATGTTGTGGAATCAATCAGAAAAGGTTGATCATCTAGCATCTAGCATCTGCAAGGTTCTGGAATCATCAAAATGATAAGAAATTTGGCCCATTCTTCGTAAAGTTACAAGCACTATACACAGAAAGATGTATATGGGACTACCCTATATCTCTCACAGACCATGAGAGAAAAAAATTTACCAAATATATGAATTAGTAGGCGGTTTCCTGGCAAATTTTGTATCATCATGTATTAGTCAAAACATATTCTTTCACATGATTGGTAATGAGAGCTTCCATTTCATTTTTTGAAATTGGGGCGTTTCCAATACTGGTCTTTACCTTTAACTTTAAAATGTATCAAAACATGAAACAAAATTAGGCCGTATTTCCTCATTATTATGACACTTCATGGGATCTGATAATGTTGTATTTGTATCGATTTCCTAATTATGCATGTTTTAATAGCAAAACCATTAATACCCATTTTTAAACCAGATATGGATAGTCTGTACTGTGTACTCAAGATAGATGATACAGT